GTGGCCTGCGTCAGGGCGAGCAGCGCCAGCTCCGGGGTGTCTCGGGCCCTGGGGACCGGGGACGCCAGCGCCGTGCTGGGGAGGCTGCCGGGCGATGCCTGTCCTGTGTAACAGCGCTGTTCTCTTGCTTCTAGGTAGCCCCCCGTTTGCTGATGAAGGCGCCCCTGAACAATGCTTTGTGGCGGAAAGCCCTTCCCGTCCTCCTTGTCGGTGAGAGGAGGCAGGCTACCTCTGCCGTCTTTGAGCTTTTCTTCCGTCTGCAGGGACCCCCGGGTCTCCTGGGGGCTGGTGGTGGCGGACAGTGCTGCTGTTTGTGGCTTCTGGGGCTCCCAGGCCCAGATTCAGTCTTGGTTTGAGAGGTGATAGTTTCTCCATAGCTTCGCCTTTAGTTGTCAAAGGATGAGCGTGAGCCTGGAGACACGGGTTCCTTTTTTTTTTTTTTTTTTTAAGATTTATTTATTTGTACATACAGAACTGGGGTACAGGCGAGAGGCTTCACCAGAGACAGAGTGGGGAGCAGAACAGGCAGATCAACGACGAAGTACACTGCTGAGGGGAGCAGCGGGCGGTCAGGAGAGGTCTGCCGCGCCATGTGGTCACCTCCTGGGCAGGCGGGAATCAAACTCATGCGGAAGCGGCTTTAGCTTCTCAATACCGTGCTTTGACCCGCTGCGCCACCAGCGAGGGCCACAGGTTCCTTTTTTTAAGATTCATTTACTTTTTATGCACACAGAACTGGGGTATACAGGCCAGAGGTGCAGGGGCGGTGAGAGGCTTCACCAGAGACAGAGTGGAGAGTAGAACAGGTCGACTGATGAAGCACACTGCTGAGGGGAGCAGTGGGCCGATCAGGAGAGGTCTGCTGCGGCCTGCGGTCACCTCAATGCCTGGGGATTGAACTCATGCTGAAGTGGCTTTAGCTTCTTAGTGCTGCGCTTTTACCCGCTGTGCCATCTGGGAGAGCCTACATTTTTTTATAATAGTTTATTTTTCCATCATTTTGTGCCTTTTTGCTTCTCAGTTGTAATCCCCATCACCAGTTTACCCGTGTGCCATCACCATAATCCCAAACACTCCCCCAATTTTTGATACCCCACTCCACCCCTGTAAAATGTCTCTGGTATATTGTTGATCATTATTATCCCCCCACCTTGGTCCTTTATGCTCCTGCTATGCGTGAAACCATCCAGTATTTTTTTCTTTCTGACTTATTTCACTAAGCATGATCCCTTCCAGCTCCATCCATGTTGCTGCAAAAGGCATGTGTTTGTCTTTTTGCTCGCTGAGTAATATTCCATTGTGTGTATGTACCAATCTTTTTAATCCAGTCATCTACTTTTGGGCATTTGGGTTGGTTCCATGTCTTTCCAGTTGTAAACAGAGCAGCAGTAAACATGGGGGTGCAGGACACAGCTTACATTTGATGACTGTGCTCTACCTGTATAAAGACATGCCCTGGACGTGGGTTATTGCACGTGTCCTGGAGACCGTTTATGGGCAGACAGTACTGTTATTCCCATTCTCAAATGAGGAGCCTGTGCAGGGTGGAGGTTGTCCTAGATCCACTCAGGGAGGCACAGGCCAATGGGGGGTCCAGCTGGTGGGCGAGAAAGACACGACTGGCTGTTTCAAGGTCACCAGCTTGTGAGTTCATGAGTTCACGTTCCATATTTGGGCTTGGGGATAATGTTAGTGCTAAACTTTGGGAAGTTGTTTTACTGCAGCATGGTTAAGCCAGCTTAAGCAGTTAAGGGGGGTATTTCAAGGGCCCCAGGGTTTCCCTGCCATCCTGTCTGGGAGCTGGAGACTGGGCTTCAGGCTGAGCCCCTGCTGCTGGCTGTCAGTAGGATTCACAGCTGAGGGGCCAGTGCCATGTCAGGTGATCTCTACAGTGGCTCAGGGAGGGGCAGCCATTGGTAAGTCTTGACTCCCCCCAAAAATATGTTGCAGTGGCTGTGGATAGCTTACAGTGCAGCACTTTAACCTGTTGCACCACCAGGAAGGGCCCAAAGTGCCCTTTTTAAATAGATTTATTTATTTATATATACCAGAACTGGAGTGTAGGCTAGAGGCATGGGAGGGGGTGAGAGGATTCTCCAGAAACAAAATGAGAAGCAGAACAGACAAGTTAACTGAAACACACTGCTGCGGGGAGCAGCAGGTGAGACAGGCAAGGTCTGCCACGCCCCATGGGTCACCCCCTGGCTGGGGATCGAACTCCCGGCTGGCAATAGCTTGACAGTGCTGTCTTTAAGCCCTGCGCCACCGCAGAGGCCCCTCAGAGTGGGCCTTTTTTCATGGAAACACCTCTCTCTGTTGTGTTCTCTTTTTCATGGCCACAGCCCACATCAGTGGAATGAATGTCATGATGTCCCGAAGTTTGGAACCCATGCGGGGGATTGAGGTCATGGACAAGGAAGGCAATGTCATAGGCTACTCCAGAAAAGCCGGGACGAAGGTAGGGGCACGACAGAGCTGGGCCGCTTGCCCTTGTGGCAGAGGACTGACGCTCGCGTTCGAGAGCCAGGGACCCCGTGATGTCCTGCTTGCTCCGAGCCTGCCTTCCTGCTGGCTTACTCTCCAGGTGCTTCCATTTGCGCCCTGACGTTTGAACGATGGTGCATTAGTCTGGGTTCTCCGGGGGAGCAGCACCACAGGGCATTAGCCATGTAGCTCTCTGCATCTGTTCACGCGTTAAGGGATTTATTTCAAATAATTGCCTCATGCATTCGTAGGGACTGATACGTTGGGGGGCGTGTGGGCAGGTCGGTGGGCTGGAACCATGGACTCTATCGTCTTGCAGCAGAATTTCTCTGAGATTCCTCAGGTTTTGCTCTTCAAGCTGTCCAGCTCACTACCCCCCACATTGTGGAGGTGATGACCTTCACTTCAAGTCAGCTGATGTTGCTGTTTACACGTGTAGAAACCACCCCACTGGCAAGTTGATCTTTGGTCAAAGAGCTAGACATTTTAGCCTGGCCAGTTGGCCTGAAAGACTGACCGCCCCATCTGGGCCACGTGCCTGGCCCTCTGGGAGTGTAAGATGATGTTTTTCTAGCTCAGCCCCCACCTTCCTGGTCAGCTCTGGACTCCTGGGCGTCAGCAACACCCTCCCTGATCCCTCACAGCAGATTTCCTTAGTCTTCATCTTTACAATTGCTGTCTAAGATGGCCTGTGGAAACCCAATGCCTTATAAGATATAAAGCCCAGACTCTTATAAAACCTCAATTTTTAGTAATTTGTAGTTTTAGATAGTATATTCTCTTGCTCAAGTCACGTCAGTGGCTTCTGGGTATAATCAGCTTTAAGAACCTATAACCATCGGTGGAGCCTGATTTATTTTTGTATTATAATTGTTTATTTTTACATCATTTTGTGCCTTTTTCCATCTCCAGATCACCCGTGTGCCATCACCACAGTCCAGAACACTCCCCCCTCCACCCCATTTTTTATCCCATTTCCCACTTAACCCCCATAAAATGTCTCTGGTATATAATTATTATTATTTTTATTTTTCCCGTGGTCCTTCATGCTCTTGCTATGAGTGAAACCATGCGGTATTTTTCCTTTTCTTTCTGGCTTATTCCACTAAGCACGATCCCTTCCAGCTCCATCCAAGTTGCTGCAGAAGACACGTGCTTATTTTTTTTTTTGATCGCTGAGCAATATTCCATTGAGTATATGTACCAGGATGTGGACTCTTTTTATTTTATTTTTTTAAAGATTTATTTATGCATACAGAAATGGGGTACAGGTCAGAGGTGCAGGGGCAGCAAGAGGATTCACCAGAGTCAGAGTGGGGAGCAGAACAGGCAGATGGGCTAAGCACACTGCTGAGGGGAGCAGCAGGGGGGTCAGGAGAGATCTGCTGCGCCCTGTGGGTCACCTCCGGGGCAGGGATCGAATTCGCACTGATGCAGCTACAGCAAGCTTGCAGTGCTGTGTCCTAACCCATTGTGCCACCAGGGAGGGCTCTTAACAGCTTTCTTGACGTGTCATTTCCATCCTATGAAATCCACCCATTGTAAGAAAAGAGGTTGATGACTTTTAATCAATTCACACACCACAGTCCACTCTTAATCATGGCCTCAGCCTCAGAATTCCCCCATGCCCATCCGCCATCTCTCCCCACTCCCGCTCCCATCCTGGGGAAACCCTGGTCTGCCTGTCAGCAGTTTGTCTTTTCTTGAAATTTCATGTAAGTGAGTCGCACACGCCTTGTCTGTATCTGACTCCTTTCACTCCTGAGAGTCAGCCCCTTGGGTCACAGACGGCCTGTGGCTGGTCAGGCTCCTCTCGAGGGAGGTAGCTAGCGCCTTTGGCTTCTCCGTCTCCAGGCAGGGGACATGGGGTGGTGTCCAGTTTGGGGCCTTGATGAATCATGCAGCTGTGTGTGTGGACATATGTTTGCATTTCTCTTCAACTCAATTTAAACATAGCTGTGTTGTAACTGAAGAAAAAATAATTTTAATTGTATTTTTTTAAGTTGATGGGATGGTGGTTGATAGCGCTGTGTCTGACTTATGGGCGCAGGTTCATAAGCTCTGTGGTCACTTCAGCTGGCACTGCCGGTGTTGGGGCGGTGAGCTGGGCTCAGCAACTCCTCAGCGCCCCCTCCCACCAGGCACAGTGCTGGGCTGTGAGCACCCAAACCCTCACCCTTAACCGGAGCACTGAGCCTCCCTAAAGGGCAGCAGCCTCCGGCCTGGCCAGCTGGGGAGAGCCAGTCCATCCCCGAGGAGGGCTCCTGTTTGTCTGAAGGCCAAGGTGGGTGAGAGGAAGGCTTGATGGTTTGCTTTCAAAACAGTTTGTCTCTTCAGAGTAGCGTCTGCTACCGTGCATAAGTAGAAGCATTCTTTTTGTCATTTCCCTGTCACCGAAAGGTTTATTTCTTTTGGCTAAAATTTCAGAAACTGCGTATGCAGCAATATCTGATTGTAACAGGGCCCCTTTGATCAGATTTCAGGGCCTGGTCCGTGGTGCTGCCCTTGACTGGCCTGGCAGCCCCGCCCGGCCACACGTCCTCCCCGGCACGCGGGATGGACTGAGGGAGCCAGCCTGCCCGGCCACGTGGACACACTGCTCAGCAGCTGCGTTTCTCTCGCCAAAGCCGAGCGAGGCAGTGGACTAAATTCGTGGTGCCTGAACATTTATTTTGGGAGCCCCCTCCTCGGCTCCCTCTGTCCTGGGGGGCAAAGGCAGGGGCGAGGGGAGCATGAAGCTCCCTGCGGGGGTGCCGGTGTGGGAGAGGAGCCGAGATGGGTGGCGGTTGTCAGGGCCCAGAGGCAGGAACCCAGCGCGGGAGTGTTGGGGGCAGGGATGGTGGGGTCTGAGTCTGGCGACCTGGGGACCAGCAGTGCTGTTTCGGGGTTGGGTCTGATGCCGGGGTTCACTTCTGATATTGGTGCGCGTCATGGATGGTCTGGTTTGCCTGGGAGGTCTCAGGTGGCCCCGGGCGACTCCCCAGAAATGGTGCGTGTGGCCGATTAGCACAGTCACGTGTGGCGTGGGCAGGAGGGCAGGATGTCACAGGCTGCTGACATTTCCTGCCAGGTTTAATTATGTTGTGGGCTACTGACAGCAGCAAACAGGTGCCTACAGGTGGACTCTCGTGCACTCCGTGTGGGCATGATGCCACCCCAGTGCTGTCGGAGTGGGTTTCTGGGGGAGTCCTCTGCTGGAAGGCTGGGGTAACCGGATGAGGGGTGCAGCTCAGGGTACAGAGGCTGGTGGGTTGGAAGGAAAAGGGAGCAGTCCTGGGCAGGCCCAGTGTGTCCACGCTCCAGCTGCCGCTCCGGCCCTTGGGCGGATCGCCTGGAGCTGCCTTTGCTGTGCACAGTGAGTGTTTCGGGGTGGTGGGGAGCTGTGGGGGGCCACAGTGGGATCTCGCGCTCCCGGGCACCGGCCTGCATGCATTTTCTCAGCGAGGAGGGGCAGACGCCGGCAACCCCCCCACGCCACAGGCTAAGCTGCTTCCTCCCACTCCCGTCCACCAGGCTGTGAGGGACACGGCGACATCCAGGGCGCTGCTCTTTGGGACCTCAGCTCTCATTCCGGAAGTCTTCTCCTTCTTTTTCAAAAGGTAAGGAGCCAACAGAAACCACCCCTTGGGCGGGGAGAGCAGACCGGCTGCCGGGGGAGGGCGGGGCGGCCGGCTCAGAGCCCCACCGTGCCACGTCCGCGATCTCCTGGAGCAGAAGCTGCAGCGCAGACAGGTTATGCTTATGACGCCTGTGTGCCAGCTACTGCTGTAAAAACCGAAAGGGAAATGCTGTAAAAGATCTGGACAAAGGAATGGAAAAGCAGAGGTATAAGCTCCCAGCTCCCAGGTGGGAGTCAGCATCGTGGCCGTCAAAATCCTTATAAAACTTGTTGAATACTAAACCTAGGGCGGAAGGGAGCAGACACGCTGCTTGTCATCTTCCTGCTCTATGCTTCCTCACAGCTTGGACGGTAGGGCTGATTCCGGCAGGTGGATCCAAATGTGGCTCCAGCCACCTGCCCTGTCAGGCCCCGTCCTGGGGCAGCTCCAGCCTTGGGTGCGTCCCTAAACCTGCTGAGCACGTTCCCCACTTCTGGAGTGACGGGCTTGGGTGGGTGCAGGTGCTCCCAGCTGGGACTGGCCATTCCCTGGCCTCTTCTTCCCCTTCCCTGGCCTCTTCTTCCCCTTCATTCCAAGCACTACAGACATTAGATGGAGTTGTTAACACCAATTGTCCTTTTGAGAAGAAATGGCCCATGAGGGCCTCCCTGGTGGCACAGGGGCTGAGTCTCAGCACTGTCAACTGTCAACAGCCACTGCAGGATGAGTTCGATCCCCAGCCAGGGAGCTGACCCACATGATGCAGCAGACGCCTCCTGTCTCCCTGCTGCTCCCCTCAGCAGTGTATTTCAGTCCATCTGCCTATTCTGGTCCCTGCTCTGTCTCTGGTGAATCTTCCCCCCCCTGTACCCCAGTTCTTGTATGCATAAATAAAAGAAAAGTAAATCTTTTTAAAAAGAAAGAAAAGAAGTGGCCTATTAGAGGGCCTGGGAGCAGAGCGGCCATTTGAGAAGCCAGCTGCTGTCACTTAGGCCACAAGGTTGCTGGACACAGGCTGCAGATGTCACCGGTGGACCATATGTAGAAGCCAAGTGGCGATCCTGCCCCTCCTGCACGGCGCCGGCTTCCTTTCCCGTCACGCACCTGCCCGTAACTCACAGTGTCACGGCGCACCAGAGAAGGCATGCCTGTCCTCAGCCCCCAGTCTCCGGGCTCAGCTGCCCAGTGCTGACTGTCCACTCCAGGCTAGGAAACCCCCACTGGACGTCAAGCGGGGCAGCGGCCTAGGCAGAGCCAGTTGTCACTTCCTGGCTGTCCCACAGGACAGGGGCTGTCTGCTGGGTCGGGCCTGAAGCACTGTGGCCGGCCTCGGAGCTGGCCTCCTGGGAAGCTGTGTTCCTCCGCCTGGATGACTGTAGCTCCCTGGTGGGGAGAGACGGTCTGCATGTTCCAGGGGTGCTGGGTGCCCAGGGACCCCCAGACTCTCAGGTGGCTTCACAGGCGCCATCCCAGAGCCACCTGGGGTGACCACCGCGGCTCTGATAACCCAGCCCTTTCACCTGCAGCTGGAAGACACAGCAGGGGCACGTCCTGTCTGGGAGCGCACGATCTCAGTGGCCTAGCCCCTGGGCCCCGGCACCCCCAGGCGTTGGACTCTGGGCAGGGTTTCTCTTCCCACGTGGTCGCCCACTCTGAAAGGTCATCGAGGATGTGACATCCAGGCAGCAGAGGCAGGCAGGGAGTGCAGGTTCTAGAATCTGACTTGGGGCAAGGACTTAACCCTTCAGGGGCTGCGTGTGTGTGCACACGCGTGCGTGTCAGTACCCCACAGTGCAGCTACCGGTTCTGCCTGCTGGTGCGGGTGGGGGAGGGCTGGCCACACAGCCTGCACCTGAGCTGTGCCTGGTCTCTTCTAGGTCCCAGATTTTCCAGCAACATCCGTGGTCATTGTGGACCTTAAAGCTGTCCTGTACCGTGCTGGTAATGGGGCTGATGGTGCCGGTGTCTTTCAGTATATTCCCACAGATTGGACAGGTAAGTGCCCCCCATTTGACTTTCTAAAAATAACCCACAAAAGTTTTTTTTTCTCTCATTATAAGAATAAGTTATTTCCTTCCTATAAAGCTGCAACATTTACAAAAATATGAAACAAGGTGACTTTTTACACACATTCCCATTCTCCCTCCTGTCCCCTCCCCCCGTCAGTCTTGGGTTCTCTTTTTTCTCAATAGTACATCAGGAGCATTTTTCTGGGGCATTAAAACACAAACCAAGAGACTCCCAACCTGTGAGCCACTTAAATATATTCCAGACCTTCCATTGCATTGCTGGTATCGACCCAGTAGGACTTTATGCCGTGATGGGAAAGACCACCTCTGACTGACCAGTCCAGGAGGCACTAGCCATGTGGACACTGAGATCTTGCCACAGTGAGATCGAGGCCACAGTGACTGCAACCTGGCATTTAGTAGTGTTGAGTGCCGTTGTACCTTAAGCGTGACGGGCAGTCAGCGGGGCTGTGTGGGGCCTTACCGTCTACAGTGGTCTGTCTTACACCTGCTATGAGTCAGACCCCATTCCCAGCTCCTCCGTGACCTGGGACCATTTGCGTCAACCCTGAGACTCAGTTTCCTTATCTGTTAACCAGAGATGCAGATAGTGGCATTTCTGCCGAGGGCTGCTGGCTGGGATCAGGGGCCTAGATACTGGTAGCAGTTTCTGAATTTTCTCAGCCAGACATTTCCTGTGCTTGTTTCTGAACCTGGAGTTAAGTCAGTCATGTGCTCCAAGGCCTGTGTGTTTCCAGAGTGACCTGTAGAGTTAAGGTTTGGAGTCCTTCACTCAGGCAGTGAGTGGGGGGGGGGGGGGAGAGCAGCGCATTAAAATAAGATTGTAGGGCCCTCCCTGGTGGCACAGCGGGTTAAAGCAGAGCACTATGAAGTTACGCAGCCACTGCAACATGAGTTCAATCCCCGGCCAAGGAGGTGACCACAGGGCGCAGCAGACCTCTCCTGACCCACTGCTGCTCCCCTTAGCAGTGGATTTCAGTGGATCTGCCTGTCCTGTTCCCCCACTCTGTCTCTGTTGAGTCTTCTCACCCCCCGCACCTCTGGCCGTACCCCAGTTCTGTATGCATCAATAAATCTTTAAAAAAAAAATTGTAGAAGGAAGAATATTTTGATTCTCAGGGATGGGTTACAAAACTGCAGTCAGCGGCTCCTTGCCCGTGATGGTACCGCCTACCGCACAGGCATCGCAGGAGTCTTAATCTCCTGGGATTTCCTGCCTCTGCGATCTGGTTTCCTCCCGAGCTCTTGTGTTCTCCCTCCAGCCCTGGCTGAGGGGTGTTCTGGCGGGCAGCAGGAAATGCAGAAGCCATGCCTGGTGGCTCACGCGGGTCTGGATTGAGCTGTGGTGTCTGCTGGAGCTGCCAGCCCAGGAATCCTGACCCGCTGGGGGAGTCCTGACCTGCTGGAAGTAGCTCAACCACTTAGGAAGATGCCAGGACAGGAGTCGTGCAGGAGCTGGCCCCAGGGAACTAGGGAATCCCCATAGGTGATTCGGCTATGGGGTGGCAGGGTCGGGTGGGCCTGGCTAAAAGCCTGGGCTCTGGCGGGATGCTGACACCTCAGAACCCCAGAAGGTGATAGAACCTTATTGTGGAGGCAGCAAGGGAGATGTTTCAGGGGAGATTGCATTTGGGAAATAGAGGTCTTTGTTCTGCATTGTAGAGGGGAGTTGGGGGGCTTCTAAGTGGAGGTGCTCGTCAGCTTGGGGTAGGTCCATGGTGGTGGGACACAGGAGGAGATACCCACCCTTCTGGGCTCTTTGTGGACTGGCCAGGTAGCCAAAGCAGCATCAAATGGCTTAGTGGAGGGAACAATCAATTTAATAACCAAATAACCAGTCACAGGGTAAACTGTAATGATGATTCAAATCCTGCTATTCTTGTGCGAAAGGATTCATCTCCTGAACTAGAGAATGGGGTGAAGGCTCCAGGAAACCACGGGGAAGGGACCATGTGGGAGAAGGGGGGCGCTGGGGGGGGGGGCGGCTAAGGGCGTGGCCGTGGCTTCCTCCTTGATTGGGGGAAGGGAGCTGTGAGCTTCTTCCTGGACTAGGGGAAGGGCAAAGGGATTAAGGGAAGGCAGGGTTTGGTCCTCAATCTTCTAGGACCTTCATTGTTCTCAGCTGAAAATCATCTGCATGCCTGGGAAAGGCCTCTTGAGACCCTAGGGGCGGTCCCACTTGAGCATCTGCATAGGTTCGAGAGAAACACAGAACTGTGAGAACTGTGCGTGCTCGTACTGGGGCTGAAAGTGAGAATGGGATCCGCCATGTTCCTGGCTTAGGACAGAGAATATGCAAGGAAGGGCGCAGATGCGAGGGTTCCATTGGCTGTAGGATCAGGAGAGTGCCTTGAACAAGGTGGGAGTCTGTTCCGCATTCACGCAAAGTGAGGTGGCCATTCTAGGCAAGGCAGCTGTGTGTTGATTCCTTGATCTTGGGACACCACTGGCCCTAGGGGTGGACCCTGGTCTTCCATCCCAGGGGGCTGTGCGACTCTTCTGCACCCAACAGTTATGTGACGAAGCCATACAGCTGAGGAGGTTGGGAGACGGGGTCTTAATTCAGGATCTGTTTAGCCTTCTGCTGCTGTGGAAGGACAGAGGGCAGCCTGCTGCCGGCTTTTGTGAGGATAACTGGCACATGTGGACATGGCTGGGGCATGACTGAAGGTAAACACGGGGTGATCGGAAAAGGAATTGTCAGCTGACCCAGGAAGGCTGCATGGAAGAGGTAGGCTTTGGAAATGGAATAAATTTGAGCAAAGCAGCAATAGGGATGGGCAGGGGACGCTCCCAGTGTCAGGTGCAGGGCTGGGGATGCCCATGGCGGGGTACATGTGGCTGAAGGATGGCAGGATGCTCGAGGCTAGACGACTGGACCTGCAGGCCAGGCCAAGGAAGCAGGCTCCGCTCCAGAGGCAGAAAGTGGACTGTGCCAGACTTAAAGGGGGACAGGGCTCTCAGAGGCCAGAGGCAGGACATGGAGTCCATCTACCCTTGTGACCTCCTCCCACATCAAGACTGGGCATTTGCTGGGCCTTGAAAATAACTCCCGTGGGCATGGAGGCGGCTGAAGGGTCCTGGGCCTTGTGGCACCAGTTTCCTTACCTTCCCCAGCTGGCACGGCCAACTCCACTTGCAGTGCCCACTGCCAAGAAGATTCCAGGTGTTTTGTCCCGATTTTTGTGGCCAGCCACAAGGAAGAAAGATGGGAGGCAGGAAGGCTGAGCAAGTAGTTTATTGCTCCCGGGCAGCAGCTGAGACGGAGCCTCTAGGTGGGATCCGCAGCTGTTGCGTGTGCTGTAAGGGGAAAGTGTCTCTTAGATAGGCTCTAGGTGCGGTTTTAGAAAGCTGACGTGGCGCTGTACACCTGGATGCAGGCCCATTGTGCTGTTGCCCTTCTATGGTCACACAGGTAGCCGTTGTGAGTGTTACTGGTCACCCTCAACACCAGGCCCCTGCCCAGGACCTCAGGCACTCCACGAGGCATCTGGAACCCTAAGGAGCCCGGCCCGCCAGGGAGGTGTGGCCTTTCCCAAGCAGCATGGTGCTGCCTCTGCCCGCCAGTGTCCACTCGACCCCTGCGGCCGTGCTGGATAGAAATGTGGCTGGCCTGAGGCTTTCCTGTTCATTTGGTCTGGTGAGGTGAGATGATGGCCTAGTCACTGCAAAACAAAGACTTTGTCACTTGGAAGTCCATACCAAAGTAGCTGTAGGTAAAGTGATACACCTGAGAATTGCCTTAAATTACCGGGGAAAAGCCTCACCTGGGTGTGGAAGACACTTGATAAAGCGAGGCTGGCAACTGTTAGTGGTTAAAGCTGAGCCGCGAGAACCTGAAGCTTCTTCTCACTCCTCTGCATTTATTTGTTTGATATTTTCCACCAGAAAGTTTTTTTTTTTTTTTTTTTTTTTTTAAAGAAAACTGCTGCTCCCTGTGGCACAGCCGGTTGGGCACAGCACTAAGAGGCTGGAGCTACTTCAGCGTGAGTGCGATCCCTGCCCCGGAGGTGACCCACATGGCGCGGCAGGCCTCTCCCCTCTGCTCCCCTCAGCGGTGTGCTTTCTCAGTCGGCCTGTTCTGCTCCCCCCTGTGTCTGGTGAATCCTCTCACCGCTCCTGCACCTCTGCCTGTACCCCAGTTCTGTATGCATCAAAAAATAAAGACAGTGGGGAGCAGGACAGGCAGATGGATGAAGCACACTGCTGAGGGGAGCAGCGGGCGGGGCAGGAGAGGACTGTGGCACCCTGGGGGTCCCTCCCTGGCCGGGGATGGAGCTCAGGGGATGGAGCTCACTAGAAGCGGCTGCAGCCAGCTTGCAGCGCTGCGTCCTAACCCGTTGTGCCACCAGAGAGGGCCACCACCAGGAAGTTTCTAAGAAGCAAGGTTACATTAGTTTTGCTGTAGATTGGACATCACTAAAAAAGTTGAACTGTGAAATTCTGGAATTTTTTTTTTTTTTTTAAGATTTATTTATTTGTGCATACAGAACTGAGGTACAGGCTAGAGGCTCAGGGGTGGTGAGAGGCTTCACCAGAGACAGAGTGGGGAGCAGAACAGGCTGAATATCGAAGTACACTGCTGAGGGGAGCAGCGGGCGGGTCAGGAGAGGTCTGCCACGCTATGTGGTCACCTCCCGGGCAGGCGGGGATCGAACTCATGCAGAAGCGGCTTTAGATTCTCAGTGCTGTGCTTTAACCCGCTGCGCCACCAGGGAGGGCCTGGAATTTTTTTTTTTTAACTTGCTTCTAAGGCAAGAAAAGTTACTTTGGACATTACAAACTTCGCTTTGTCTTTCAGATACAATGCAGTCAGCTTGAGAAGGAAATCCAGGCCGCCACGGAAGAGACGGAGCTCTTCTACAACAGAGGGGTGTAGGGAGGTTTAGGGGAGTTTGTTTGGCTTGAAAACCTTCCTCTCCTCAAGGTTTGCTTTTCAAGAGCTCTGCCAAGTCTCCTGGAAATCCCAGAGGTGCCGCAGTTCCACTTCCCAGACGGTGTCAAGGCTGGTGGGGTCTTGAGAGAACTGAAGCTGCTGTCCAGTCTGGCCCAGCCCCTCCAGCACCCCTGGGGCTGGGCGATTCAGATGCGGTTGTCCAGGGCCGAAAGGCTCCTGAGAGGTTACTATTAAATGTTGTGTAAAGCGGAGCATTTGAAAAAATTAAAGAAGGGTACCCAGGACACAGGCATCAGCTGGCCCACCTTGAGATAAGTAGGAACCTCTGGGGGTCTCCAGCCACAGCAAACATCCTTTCCTACAGCTTATCCCTTTCCTGGGCAACTACTTCCACTCTGCTCCAGGCCACCCAGCTCCTTTGTGTCACTGGCTGCCGCCTGGGGAAACCCCCGGCAGTCTGCCAGTGGGGCACCTTCCCCCACCCACACCCACCCCGTCCTCCTCCAGGGAGGGCTGCAGTGCCCTGGGCTCTTCCACCCCTTCCACTTGGCCCGGCCCTGTCGGGTCCCCACAGCCAGCCGCCTCTCCCCCCTGCAGTGAAACTGCTTGATTCATGGCCTCATGAAACAGCAGCCTGTAGAGAGCACGGTCGCCCCTAGGCTGCCCCAGCATCTCTCTCACCTTGCTCTGCCCCTGGCTGGGCTGCCACTCCAGGCCGCTTAGATGTCCTCTGACCCGCCCGGCCCTGAGCATGGCCCCACGTGCCGTTGCAGCCAGCTGTTGGCCACTTCCATGAAGCCATACCCCTCCCAGTCTCGGAACTGCAGCGCCCCTTAGTTACTATCTGGCCTGGCCCTCGGCCTTTTCTTAGCCTCCTCTGTAGCCCCAGCCCAGCGGAGTGAGGTTCTAAGCTTGCCCTGTCTGGGCCCTCTGGTCCGCAGACTCGGTCCAACAGTGCCCCCTGCCGGCACTAATTCATCTCTGGTCTGGCTCCCGCCCAGCCAGGCCCCCACCAGCTCTTCCAAATCTTGTCTGGTTCAAATGGCTTCCCAGGGCGTTGGGATCAAGTCCACATTCCTTCCCATGGCAGACAAGAGCATTTTATCACACACACCGCTTGCCACTCTTTCCTTACTCCGGACCAACATCCAGTTCCTCGAGTGAGCTGTGGTCACGATCTGTGCCCAATCTGTGCCCTCTCGAGGCTACTTCCTGCTTAGGCGTCCTCTGATGCTAGCCACTCCCTCCAGGAAGCCTTCAGGAGTCACAGTCCTGACTCAGGACTCTCCGCTCCCTGAGCACCTGCCGTACCACAGTGGCTCGTTAGGTGCTCCCTAGACCCCAGGGTACAACACGGTTCCTAGCGACGTCCCGAGCACCTGTGGACTGCAGGAGGCTTCCAACACACCTTGTCCCAAATCTTCAGACTTTCAAGGCCTTTCAGTTTTTGCTAGGTAAGAATAGTGGCTCCTTCCAGTCGAAGGGATTTCACAATAGTCAAGGGCAAAATCAGTGGGAATGAGCTGAAGCTGGCTCAGTACAGTCACCGGCTTGTGCCAAACAAGACTAAATAAAATGTGTGAGGACTGGGTGAGCTTTTTGTTTTTTAATAATATAATAGTTTTATTTTTACATAATTTTTTGCCCTTTTCCATCTTAGTTATAATAATAATCCCCATGGGCTTCCCATCACCAAACCACCCGTGTGCCATCACCACGGTCCAGTGCGTTCCCCCCCCCCCCCCCCGTTTTTGATCCCATGCCCCACTCCACCCCCATAAAATGTCTGGGATATAGCTGCTCATTATTATTTTCTCACCTGGTCCGTTCTACTCGTGCTATGAGAGAAGCCATCAGGTATTTTTCCTTTTCTTTCTGTCTTATCTCACTAAGCATGATCCCTTCCAGCTCCAGCCATGTTGCTGCAAAAGGCCATGTGTTTATTTGGATGCTGAGTAATATTCCGTTGTGTATATGGACCACATCTTTTTAATCCAGACTGGGGGAGTTGTAGCCTCTGACAGGTGACAGTAGAAAGGTGAGCATCTTTTTTTGAAGGAGACTTTCAGGTGGGGGCTGAGTAGGGCAGGGAGGAATGAGCTGGAACCTACCCCTTCCCTGGCAAACTGGTCTTCTTTCTTACCCGTGTAACTGCACGTTTGCAGTTCACATAAAGGGTTTTTCCTTCTGTTTGGAGTGGGGAGAATTTCTTCATCTCCCTAAAACTGTTGCATATCAAAATATCTCCACTTTATTTCTGCATTATGCGTTTGTAATCTTCACTTTGATCATTAGTTAATATAATTTATACAAGAGAGGGGGAGAAATGTTAGAATTTATTTTCACAAAGTGCAGATTTAATCGTTTGCCTCAGGAAACAACCTCATTTCTGATCCTGCCTGCTTCCCAACCCAAGGAGGTAACAAAGGCTCATTTTTATTTTTAACCAATGTCTAACACCAAGAATAAGCAAGCAGGCCCAATAAAGACAAGTTATCTGCAGACATTTTTCTGGGCAAGAAAGTATAACCGTACTAGTAAAAACTAACCTCATAATAAATAAGAATATATAAGCCCCAATCACAAGTTTAGACTTCCATGCTGCTTTTCTAAGTTTTAGGTTCTCCAGTTTTTAAAACTAAAGGTACATAGCTAGACAAGATCATGTGGCCAATTTACGTTAAGTTGTTTGAAGATGCTGGTTAGCCCTCCAGGGGGTTAATGAGTCCACTCCCTTACTAATTAAAAAAAGCTGCTGTTTGTCATTAAGCCCATTACATTCCAGTTATTTATTTTATTCCACAATATGAGGATTGCCATCTTTCCAAAAGAATATTGCTAGCAACAGGGTTAATTGAAGTACTGATGGCTTAAGTTTGCCAAGTGCTTATCTCTGACGGTATAAATATTAAAGTCATTGACTTGAGTACAAAATTATGCAAAACCTCCATAATATAGGCACAATGTTCAAAGGCCAAGAAAAAAAATTTCTTTTACAAGAAAGTGCAACTGCAGGGTGTTTTGCGTGATGTTCTAGACAGTTCTGCAGAAAACGTAGGAATTTGGTTGAAAAGTTAAAGAGCCCCTCATGAGGAATTTAAGTTCTTCCTAGAAGAATACAAAGCAAAATTTCAGGCAGCTTTCTGAAAGTAAGCCAGTAGTCTGTGGCCATACAAAGACAAACTGGAGCTGGGAATGACGAAGGCATCTGAATGTTCTGGGGTTGCACAGAACTTCCTCGCTGCATGACATCGGGCTGTGGTGTCCTCACGTGTAGGTGTGACGGTCCTGACCAGCGCAGGAAACGAGCCAGGTGGGAGGAAGGATTGTCACGTTTCAGTGCATTTTTAGGTCCAATCTCAATACTTTCAAATAAATCATTCAAAACAGACCGTTGCTGTTATTTGCAGCGTTTTACACAGGGAACGGGCGACCGTAAGAGCTTGCTGACTCGCTAGAAGCCCCACAGCTGTGGTCAGGCCCTCAGAGCTTCAGCATTTGCTCAGCTGCTGCCAGCTGGTAAAGGAAGTTCTCTGTGGCTGGTGGAAGTCTTCTCTGTTTTAGGGCCTCCAAATTGAGTACCAGCTTTTCTCCCTCACCGGAAGCTTCTGAAAATGGTGCCAGGTTGGTGAAGATTTCTTTTGTTTTTAGGGAAATATCCTGCAATACAACAGGGAAGTACACACCGTGTTAGTGTCTGCAGCGACAAATCCGAATGTTGCACTAGGATGGAATTCTTCCTGCTGTCTTTTAAAAGTTCATAAATTAAGAAACATGGAAACACTGAGTTTAGCAAGGTCAGCATCAAAGGAAGTTGTTTCTAGCCACTTCAGCCACTTCTAAGCGGCCAGTGCGGTGGCATTAAGTACATTCACTCGCTGTGCCACTGTCACCGTGCTCCAGCTCCGGGCCCAGCAGCCTGTCTCTAGCTGTGCAGTCTGGCAACAGCTCTGAGCATGGAATCTAGGGCCTGGGGGTCTGAGCACCTGCCACCAGCCTCTGGCCTCCCTCCCTCCCATCACTCTGTCCATGCGAACCCAGGCAGCTGCCGCACCAGAGCGGGGGGCAGGGGTAGGAGCACGAGGCATCACCTGTATCACCTGGCTGTCGGACTTCTCTGGGTCTTCTGCAGACTGAATGATGAACTGGCCGATTTCTTTGTGCAGCTTGCCCATGGTCATGGTCTCTGATAAAAGAGAAGTTTACATAATAAAGCATTATGCCATGTGATTTGAAAAATCATACAGGAGGAGGGCATTTCCACAAGGCAACCAACAACCTCATAATAAAACATTCACATTTTATTATGAAAAGGAAAAGGGCCACACAGGCTAGGAGGTAAGGAATACTCGGCCTTCATACCCAAAACCAAAATACACCAGTACTAAAAACCAAGCCTCAAGCTTCCCTGGTGGTACAAGGGGTTATGCACTGCACTGTGAAGCTATCGCCAGCCACTGCGGCACGAGTTCGATCCCCGGTCAGGGAGGTGACCCACAGGGCGCAGCAGACCTCTCCTGACCTACCTGCTGTTCCCATCAGCAGTCTGTTTCAGTCAATCCACTTGTTCTGCTCCCTACTCTGTCTCTGTGGAAGCCTCTCATCCCCCACACCTCTAGCCTGTACCCCAATTCTTCTATGCAAAAATAAATAAAAATTTAAAAATCAAGTTTATCTTTCCAGCAGGGATACTGTGAGGCAGTAATTCCCATCAGCCTTGTTCCGTGGGTTGTACACCTGGCTACTTTCTGTGGCCGGAGATGAACAGTGATATCTGTCACTTCGAGGGGCAAAACCCTTTTGAATGAGAAGCCCATATCACAGACTCGGCAACAGATGCAGCGGGGAGCCCCCTTTCTGTTCCCAACACTTCAGCAACTGAGGCGGCGCGGGCTCTGGCTGGCCTACCACACCTCTACTTCCCAAAGGCAGGCCCTCCCAAAGGCCTGGCTCTGCTTTGAATTTTTCTTCAGGAACGTGCATTATGCTTGTCATTTTAAAACAATGAAAAAGAAACTAGTTCTGGCTCATTAATGTGAAGTTGTTCATATTAATATAAATGTGATGTAAACCTCATGTGATCAGAACCCAGCTAACAAAGCATTAACCAGCATTCAGCAGCTCCCAGTTTTAGGAGAAAGAACACAAAAGCTGTTGTGTTGGTAACTGCCCCCCACAACCAACACCCAGTAGTGTCTTGGGCTCGGCCACGTTTAACCCCATCACTGCCCTTCATACAGCTGCATCCCACAACTTAAAGCCGCGGGATGACAACACTGGCCACACCCTCTTCTGATCTTTAGTCCAGAACCTTCATTCCCTGTGCTTACCGAGAGAGCCTTCAGGAAGACTCCAGCCCCGCTAGTGATAAATGGCTATACTCGCTGGCACGCCTTCCTTCGAGGTGGGGGCGCCTACTTCCTCCCCCCTTAAATGTGGCCCGGACTGAATGGAGGAAATAGTGTTATGTGACTTGCAAAGGTAGTCATAAAAGGTGCCCTGGGTCCTCCCTGTGATGAGAAACAGTTGTTTTGCACTGCTAAGTTTAGAAGTGATTTGTCACACAGCCATAGCCATCTTTTTTAATCAGAAAAACAAAGAAGTGGGCCCTCCCTGGTGGCACAATGGGTTAGGACGCAGCACTGCAAGATAGCGGCAGCCACTTCAGTGCAAGTTTGATCCCCACCACGGAGGTGACCCCTATGGCGGGCCAGACCTCTCCTGACCCGCCCACTACTGAATGCTTCATCAATCTGCCTGTTCTGCTCCCCACTCCACCTCTGGTGAAGCCTCTCAGCGCCCCTGCACCTCTGGCTTGTACCCCAGTTCTGTATGCATAAATAAATCTTAAAAAAAATAGTTTTAATAAAAATGGAGAAGAAAAGACGGGCTATCGCCTTACTGACATCACCATGGAGCCCTGTATTCGGGCCGCATCACGAACACAGCTCGGTCTGTGAGATACTGTATCTTGGCCCAGAAAACCCCCTCAGCTTCGGCACAGTGAGTGAAGCCCACCCGCAAATGCTGGTTGTCGAGATCAGCCTCAAAACTGCTTAGCCTCTAACTGGCGTCAAGAAGGGGACCGACCTTTCGCACGTGGGGCGATGGTGATCTCGCTCTCTGCCAGGTTCACGAACACGTCATAGAGGTCCGACCTGTTCACCACCTCTGGGTCCACAAATCCAGCGACATAACCTGCATCACAAAGAGGACCCACGCGCTGGGGCAGGAAGGAGCCCGCTGAGGCCGAGCCGAGAGGGGGTCTACAAGCCCGCCAATTGTGGCTCTCCCCTGCTCTGTCCCGAGGTGCCGTGGGCTGCACCAGGGGCGTTTATGAAGACCACAGTACTGTCCTTTGCCTGAAGAAACCCACATGACTCCAAGGAGGCAAAACTGGCCCCCAGCATCCAGGAGGAAGGCTGACGTCAGGCACGTGCATCCAGCCATCGCCGCTGGGGTGGGGGCAGACCGGGGCATCCGCCAATGTGCCTTCTGCTGTTTTTATAATTCACATAAATATTATCTAGTGTTTTATGGAAAAAATATTTCCTGATGTGAAAGAAGCCACCAGTGTAGCTCCTACTGGTAGGATCATTTTCTGAATGGGTCCTTTAAGGCTGTGACAGTATGAAGGGCATAATAACCTTCACTGTTAAGAAAAACCCAGAAAATCTAACACAAAAAATCGGTGTCACTGGAGTCAGGATCCTATAGATGAAAGCAATACTGTATATGTTCAATTATTCTCAATTCTTGTTAAAAATGACTACATAAGTATAACATCATTTAAAATAAGCTTTTTCTCCTTTGAGAAAAAATATGGGGAAGATCTCAAAAAAAAGTTGAGGTCAAATCACTGGTAGGCAATCCTTTAAGGGAAGAACCTGGGCAGGGATAAAGATAAAAGGGATGGGGGCGGGAACACTGCTCATCTCCATTCCTATCACTGGATCAGTGCTCCCCAGGCTTGACCAATCTACCTAAGGGGAAAACAACAAAGCCAAGGACCCGGCGGGACTGGGACCAGGAGGGCGCCCACCCCCATCCCACCCCCGCCCAGGCTACCTGTGCACATCTGCAGGCCGTCCAGCTCGTCCGCGCTGAGGTGCACGTAGGAGTGGAGGATGGTCCAGTCCTGACGGTGCCACACCAGGGCGGGCAGTGTCCTGGGGAGCAAGGGCCAGGGTGCTGCTGGGTGCATCACAGACCCTCAGCGCTCCAGCTTCCCCCATCACCCCCAGCAGGAAAGGAGGAGGCAGAGCCCAAGCTTCACATTAATGTTTGATTTGGGGGGTCAGATCAGCTACAGAAAATTCAAGATGGCCACCAAAAAATTGTTTGAAGTTTTTGTTAATGTTATTTAAAATTCCAGTCCAACTTACAAACCATTTTGTTTGTTTTTATGCAAAATAGGTTTCCTAAAGCACACGCACAAAAGTTCTGCTAAGCCACTACGGGAAGATGAGCCAAAATGATCTGTGGCCTTGCAAGCCCCCTGAATCCTGCTACTTATCTCAGGCCATACCCCAGTTTCAGAAGCATAACTGGGAGTCACAGGGAGCAGGGTGAAAATTCTGGCCCCTTTGCTTAAGGTCTGAGGCCATCCCGACCCACAGTGCTCATTTCTAAGGTGCAGGCCCATGGGGTGGGGTGGGGCGGGGGGGTCATGTCCACAGCCAGCACGGTACAGACGCGGTATCCAGGCTTAGGAGGCAGATGGTATCTTTTACAATCAAGAAGCTGAAGCTCAGAGACATCCAGCATCTTCTCAGAGGTCATGGAGTGAAGAGGCTCCCTCCCGAGATTTTATCTATTTTTTACATCTTTCTTCATTTTTGTATGGTTTGGCTCATCTTCCCTGAGATTAACTAGTGCTTCTGACAACAAAGCACCAACCCTTCCATTCTCCAGCCTTCAGCCTCGCAGGGTGCAATTTTCTGTTTCGTAAAACAGGGAAAGAACGCGTCCTATCAGGGTATCATTTCTCTTACACGAGAAAACACAATCACTTAAGATGATGTATGTAATTCTTGGCTTCAGAAATGGGACAAATGCTAGCCCATTCCCACCCACTTTTACTAAAGAATCTAAAAACAAGGTAGACTCGGCAAAGGAAAAAAACCCAGACATCGAATTTTAATAGAAAAGCGCCTATGGTCAAGACGAAGAAGGAACAATGTACCTAAAATGGGGGTAAAGATTCTGTGACCCCTGGGTCGGGGCCTGTCTGTGCACCCAAGGATTTACTGGACACATACACACTTCTCACCCCCAGCTCCCCGACCCAGGGTTGCCTGGATGTGACCACGGCAAGCAAGTAGCCGGGCCACCAGGCTAAGATAATTACTTTCTGGAAAGGAAAAGCTGGCCTACTTCCTGCTCAAAAATATCCGTATTTCTAAATTTAAAGAAAAATCTGTCCACGTTTTGAGACCCCGGACCACTAAATGTAAATCAAAACACTGGACCAAAATGGATCTTACCCCCGCGCTCCACATTCCATTGTTACCAGAGGGGTGCCCCACAATATCGAAACACCCCCATTCCTGCCCTGGCTGCTGACAAAGTTCAATTTTCAAGGACTGGAGACCTCACCTTGTAAACTCCTGGACGGCTTCTATTTTGGGGTGGTAGACCACAATTCTTTTCTTCAGCATCAGTGCTGTATGTAAGATAACAGTTTCCATTCCAAACTGAGCCACAATGTCTTAAAACAAAAGAAATTAGAATGTCACTGTGTTAAAATGTGAAAAGAGGAAATACATTTTTCATTAGAAAAAATGTTTTTCACATGAGTGCAAAATCATTTACTTCAGAGAACAGGCCTCAGTCAACATTGCTAGCACCGAGGGTGGGTGGGTCTGCGGACGCAGCACCTGCCCGGGCTCCCTTCAGCCGCCCATGCCAGCAGCTGAGGTCACACACAGCTGCGCTCACACTCGTGAGAGAGCAGTAAGTGACGTGCAGGGGGAGCAGCGCCTCCCTGTGCCATGAAGACTTCTCAAGTCCCTCTGACAAACACCTAGCCCTTGGTGGGGGAGGCTTACAAACCGCAGCCCAGCGGGCTGGTGAGGGAAGACTGCACCGGGAGGCCTCGGACACAGGAGGCATCGCCCTGGGTCCCCTCTCCTCCCTGTTAAGGCCCTGAGGTCTGTGGCTCAGCCCTGGGCTGTCATCCTGGACTTTCCAGTCAGGAGAGAAACACCCGTGTGTGTCTTTGTGTACGAGAGAGAGTGAGCTGTGAGAGTTGTGCATGTGTGGAGCAGAGGGGTTGCTGAGTGAGGAAAGTGGGAACAATGGCACAGAGCTTGAGCTCCACAGAGAAGCGCCAAGACCCAGAGACAGACTCTGGGAGTCGGCAGAGGCCTCAAGCCACGATGCTCAGCCCGCTGCTAAAAGAACAGAATCCTAGGAGAAGAAACACCAAAAAAATCTGCTTTCCTGGGACACAAGCTGAACCACATCAGAGGGTGCAGCAGCTGAATTACCTCCCCATGGGCGAGAATCACAACGGAGGTGGAAAGAACGATAAGACGGGGCACGTCAGCGCCACGGAGACCACCTGGTTGGGGAGCTGGCATTGGGATGGAACCCCCGGGATGGGCAGTTTCTTGTGTTTTGCATTCTTGTGGCTATGACTTTTTACCTTTGACGGAGCCCGCCAGGTATGCTTTTCGGGCATCAAAATCCTTGCTGAGGAAAGAGCCGTTTTCCTCGCTCTGGCATATCCCCTTTGTGAGAACAGCGATGTAACTCTCCATCATCTTAACCGGGCTCCCATGCTTCAGGTACATTCTGTAAGGGCAAAGAGCAACCGGCTTTTATTTCGCAAGAACCACAGAGAGAGCACCGCGGTTAGGCAGGGTACTTTGTTGAGAATCTCGGCCCACTTGCTACGGCCAGCCTGCTGACTTGCTCCAGAATGCTTGAATCTTTTCTTGACATGATTATCTCTACTACTGAATTTGCAAATGTGTTAAAAAAAGAAAACACTTGAGAAGACTTCAATGATTCTCTGACGCCAGCACTCTCCTTCCGTCTGGGGAAGCCTGTGGCACTGGCGTGGGCAAGAGAATGAACTGCAGACTTTCGAGGCCTCCTCGTTCTCCCCAGTACCGTACACTTAGCTCTTTTTATTCTTACATTCACAGCTGCTCTTAGTCATAACAACTCTGCTTTATTGCTAGGATTTCCTTTGACAAGAAAGGGGTTTCTGCATTGTTCACAGAGAAGGCAAGTAATTAGTTGCAGAACCTGTATTTATTATCAGTTCCCAGAGGAGGCTATATTTAGATAACTAGGAGAGTATCCTCATGGTACTCTCTTAGTTCCTAGCTACATTCATCATCAAGTTAAAAATTCCAGAAAATGCTGACAGGCAACTGGCTGCATTTACAGTCCCTCCCCCTGCGAGCGCTTCCTGAGTAACTAAATTTTGCTTGCAAAGCACCACTGGACCTACACAGGCCTTTCAGTAGCTGAAGGGCTAGAAAATTGGAACTAATAAAAATCATTGTTTGAAAAATTGTATTTATTGTAGAGTGGGGGAAAAGCAAATGTTTCAGCTGTTTGTCAGATGTCACTCATCAGGGCTTTGAAGTTATTTTGATGCAAAATGAGAAAAAAAATGTAGAGAACAATGAACACGGTAAGCTACGAGACAACATGCTTATACATGCATTTCAAGTACATATATACATACAAAAAAACACAGGCGGGGCCATGAACTCATACATGTTTATACATTGAGAAAACATCTGACAGAACGTAAAGAAAACTGGCCCAGGAGGCTTATGGGAAGCAGAGCTGAGGCTGGGGAGGAAGGGACTTCATTTTCTCTAGATTCCCTTCCACAGCTTCTATATTTTTATTATGAGCTTACATTATCACCACCAACAAAAACATGAAAACATGATTAAAAATAAAACAGAACCTATACAAGGTAATGGCCAACCCTAAGGAGGTGAGGTTTACGATGGCGTGTGGCAGCTCTGGAACACTCCAATACACCCCTAGAAAAGCCACACCGGACAGCCCACAAGGCCGATTTTGACCGACACCCACAAATAGCTGACCCCCGGCTCCACGTGTGCATGAAACCCCGCTTCTCCGCCGGGCTACTGACCTGGGTCCCACCCTGGAAATGGACCCCTCTCCCACGCTGCCCTGGCCACTGCGCACAGCAAGGACCCCCCCCCCCATCAGTGTGTGGCCTGTGGGTGTGCAGGCAGACACATGCCCGTGTAGCGAGAGTGAGAGTGTGTGCGCGTGCTGAGCACATGCAAGGCAAGCACAAGCGTGCAGTGAGGGGCAGGGGCTGTGGGTATCAGGCACAGCTGAGTCCTCATTTCTCGGGCCCTGCAGCAGGAGAGAATCCACAAGGCCCCCAGACTGAGCCCCACGGAGGCCGAGACACTGTCTGCCATCCTCCTGGGCAGGGAGCGGGGTCTAACGCAGCTTGGACTTTGGGACCACAGAACATTTCAGTGAATTCAGAGACGTAACCTAGCCCCAAGTCAATCGAGTGACACGGGAGTCCAGTGCTTACTCAAAAACACCTCTGCAGTGTTTTCAGTTCTGGCTTCTGGACAATCAACCTCCCTTCGTGTCAGGCCTGCATTCAATAACCGTTCATACTCCAAAGGGAGCCACGCACCTGGAAGGTATCTTCGGAGAATGGTAAGTCCATTTATTGCAGCAGGCTTGTTCAAACACAGCAAGCCCTTGCTTTGTTAAAACACAACCTAACTGGGGGATGGGAAGGTGTCCTCCTTTTATGTATATATATATGTCCTCCTTCACAGGGATGGGAAGGTGTCCTCCACTATGCCGTGCCGTGCGTGCAGAGCCGGAGAAACGAAAACAGTCCTCTGCCTCCCCCAAAGCCTACTTGCTGGGCGTGGGCTGAGACAAAACGTCACACCTAGAATTAGAGTTCTACCTAGTGACAATGTCAACAAACAAAAACCAACCTAAACCCCCGCAAAGAGCCTTGGTTAAAGAAAAAGCCAACATCCCAATCGCATAAGGAAGCTTTCGTTAAGTCCACTCAATACGCTTACCAATGCAAGCAAGCAGACTGTTAGATCTTGGGTAAGTGTTTTTCAACAGCTGAGATGAAACACATCCCCTAGAAAGCCACACCGGGCAGCCCACAGGGCCTAATCCACTTAAGTCACTATCACTATCACTTCTTTAAGCACAGAATTTTTCCATCCAGCTAAGCAAAGTTCCAGATTGGAAGTGAGTAGCAATAACACACCAAAAGTGGCAAATAACTCCAAATACGCAGGAACTACAAAAGTTGTGCAAACTGCCTTTTCTCCTCTCCCTGCCATTTTCCCAAGTGAAAGGAGCAGTTATGGAAGAAGAGGAGAAAGTTCCTCTTTAGAAAACAGTCTCTCAAAACAGCCAGTACTGATTAAGCTGGGGTAACAGAGGGCTGACTTGACTTCCTTGGTGTAGAAATCTGCTCTGTAACTATTGAGTAAGATCTTCATTTACGGATATTAGCATTTAATAGTTTTCATACATACAGACCTACACAATATCCTAGTGAAGGCGGCATATTTCTCTGGGTTAAAATCTTTGGCGGTGAGAACAATAGAAAAATGAGTCACCTGTCCAAAAGAAACAAAAAAAGCACATTTTAAGACACATTCATAGAATCAGTTTTTAATCACTATATTCCAACAAACCTCTTAGACAAGACAGACTAGCTTTCTAAGAAAAAGATAAAAATATAACAGTATTCATTTGCTTCTTTATACTTTATATATAGACACACACCTAAAATACATATGTATTTATATCAATACATATAGATTTAGTTTCCTACTAAAAACACAAATTTGGGGCTTAGAAATTTTTTCCGAAGACTATGTCAAATACTAAAAATGTGCATGCTATTTAAAGTCTCCAAACTTCATCAAAACCAGAACTAGGATGGCTATGTCACTTCCTCAATTAGCAATTATTTTTCATTCATGAAATAGGATGAAAAAGGACAAAAATACTAGGGAGCTGGTGGCGCAGCCAGTTAAAGTGCAGCGTTGAGAAGCCAGCCGCAGCTGCTTCAGCACAGGTGTGATCCCTGGCGGGAGAGGTGACCACATGGCGCGGCAGACCTCTCCTCACTGCTCCCCTCAGCAGTGTGCTTCATCGATCTGCCTGTTCTGCTTCCTACTCAGTCTCCAGTGAGTCCTCTCACCACCCCTGCACCCCTGCACCTCTGGCCTGTACCCTGGTGCTGTATACATGAATAAATAAATCTTAAAAAATAAGTAGAAAAATATATCCCAATATAATTCATATTGTGAAAACCATTCCATTCCTGAAATAGTCAATTGTCTATATCATCTAAAAGGCACTGTTATAATAAGCATAAAGGAAAAGACCAAACAAACCACTAATTTAACTCTAGTATTCTAAATTCCTCTCTATTATTATAATACCTCTATTATTATAAATTACTTTATCAAAAGTAAAGCATCTAAAAGATACATTTTCAAAAAGTCTCTAAGTCTTGTTATTTTTCAAATCTTAAAAAGAGACTTGAGATTGATGTTTCTATACTTTGACAATCAGATAAATCTACTTGGGGATATATCCATCAATATTTTCTGCAAGAAAAGTTCTGAGGCCCTCCCTGGTGGCACAAAGGGTTAAAGAACAGCACTATGAAAGGGTTAAAGCACAGCACTATGAAGTTACCTGCAGCCTCTGTAGCAGGAGTTCAATCCCCTGTGAGGGAGGTGACCCACGTGGGGAGGCAGACTTCTCCTGACCTGCCCGCTGCTCCCCTTAGCAGTGTATTTCAGTGTATCTGCCTGTTCTGTGCCCCACTCAGTCTCTGGTGAGTCCTCTCCCCACACCCCACTACTGGCCTGCACCCCAGTTCTCTATGCATAAATAAATCTTTTAAAATAAGATTTTAAAATAAGAAAATACAGAGTTACTAGAATAACCTTAGGTCACTTTAAACAGCTCTAGTTTTCTGATCTTACGCTGTCATACCTTTTTCAAAACTGAAGAATCTGGAACTTCAACTGTTGTGATATAAAACCAGGTTCTTCGGTACTGACCGAAGACGAAGGGATGGAGAAGTCTGTTTTCGTGGGTAAGGCAGCACTTCCTCAGGAGCAGACTCCTTAGTGTCTCTGTCGTGGACGGGTAACACCACACCCACAGAACTTCTCCATTTGTGTCCTTTTCTATGGTGGAAAGATGTGGTCACTGTGAGAATGTCAAACAGCACCAAGGGTGTGAATGGATTGGTTACTCAAACACTTAGTGGGACTAGCTTTAACACCCCCTTTTACAGAAAACCCAAGAAGGTGAGACTCCAAATTCCCACGAATGGAGACTGTTCAGATTATCTAGCTCTTGTGAAGGGAGGTTCTAGTGCGTCTGAATAAAAAGCTCAATAATACATCATGAATAAAAATCTAGCCTTACAGATAGAGATCTTCCCTACCTCCTGCCACACAAATTCTTGTAAAGTAATAATTAACATGTTTATCTGGTTGGAAAGATCCTTAATAAATACATAGAAATTTTGTTGAAAACAAAATCAGACATGAAGAAAATGGTGACATCGGGCCCTCCCTGGTGGCACAGCAGGTAAGGACACAGCAATGCAAGCTGACCGAAGGTGCTTCAGTGCGAGTTCCATCCCCTGCCTGGAGGTGACCCACATGGCCCCGCAGATCTTTCCTGACCTGCCCGCTGCTCCCCTCAGCAGTATAATTTGTTGATCTGCTTGTTCTGCTTCCTTCTGTCTCTGGTGAATCCTCTCACCACCCCTGCATATCTGGCTTGTAACCCAATTCTGTATGCATAAATAAATAAATCTTAAAAAAAAAAAGGTGACATCTCTTCTAAATCAAGTTAGAGATGAATATATGAATTCACATTTAAGAATTAATAATAATAAAAGTTATCCAATCATAGATGAAGGTTCATCGTCAAAGTAGTCACCTCAAAAACAAAATAGGAGCAATTTGCTACTAATAAAAACTCCAGGCAAAAAGAGCCTAAAGCTTTAGAGAAAGTTTATATATATATATATATATATATGGCAGTAAGAATCCAGGTTTTGACCTAGAAACTTAAAAACCAAAGAAACAAACACTATAAACCCCATTCTTACCATGGCAAATACCAAGTATGTAAAAACAAAAATAAAATGACTCAGCTTCAGCAATTATCGATATGTGGTTTTCCTTGTTTCATAACGGGGAGGGTCATCTCTCCCTTTATTTTGAGGAAAATCCTTTTTAAATGCATGTGAACTTTTAAAAAACAAAACCAAACCTGAATGGAAAACAGCAAGTTTTTTCTTTCTCCACTTTCACCAGATAATGTCAGAGTTTAACTGAACCTTAATTCAGAGTATCTTCAAGCTGGACTAAGATGCCTGAAATACCTTAACTTTGCCTTGAAGCAGATTTAAAATAATGCCAGAAAGGAACAGAGAAGATGGTTCCCTGCTAAATGCACTACTTGGAGGCACTGAAAAATAGCCCATTTCTCCAGCTTAGCTAAACCCAGCAACGTTCTTGCAAGCTAAGCGAAAGTAGAGTTTAAGGACATGTAAAGATCTCATTAGAGACTTTTTCCCAAAGGACAACCGCACACAAGGAACCCACAGACGGGCAACCCCGAGCTTGCAGAAGCCAGGGAGTGTGGGGAGTGAGAGGGCTCACCAGACCCTGAAACACTTAGGTCCCCCACTTGGGCGTTCTGCAGCCCAAAGGTCCCAAGCATCCATTAAATCCTTCAAACTAGCCGGGGCCACGGAATGTGATGAGAGAGACACTCCTGCTCAGGCCATATGCAGCAGTGCTCCGGGGGGGACTCGGGGCTCAGGGATTAGAAGGCAGGGGACCCAGACCTGGCTCCGCCACTCCCCAGCGTGCACCTCTGACACCCTTGGGGCTCCATCTGCTCCCCGTCAGGTGGGAATCAAACACTGTCCATAACCCCCGGCGCCGGGCTGAGTTAAACGGGAGAAAATCCCTGCACGATGAGCGGCACCTAGGGCCACCATCTCTGCCACCGACCGGTCACATGACTCGGGTCAAGCAGCCAGTCCCGCGCGGCTCGCGGACGCTCCGGGGGACCCCGACCCCGGCGGCCAGCGCAGCGGCCCCGCAGCCGCCGGGGCTCCGTCTCACTCCTCGTCCGGCCCCTTGGCGGCGCCGGGCGTCCACCAGGAGCCCGGCCCTCGGGCCTGGGAGGCCCCGGGGCCCCCTCGCCCCACTGCCCAATCCCGGGGGGCCTGGATCCGCGAGTGAACTGATCAATGGCAGGCCGGGTCCCCGCGCGGAGGCCAGGCCGCGAAGTCCCCCGCCCAGGCCTCACATAGAGGGGGCCGCGCCCTCCCCACGAGGCAGCTGAGCCCAGGCGGAGGTGGAGGCGGAACTGGGGAGCGGGCCAGCGGGGCAGGGCGCCTGCGTCCTCACCGATCAGCCCGACTCCGAGCATCAGCTGAGTGTCCGCCGCCTCCACCGCAGCCATCTTCCGCCGCCGCGCTCCGCTCCCAGCTCCGCGGCCAGGCCCCGCCCCGCGAGCAG